CCATCTCAAGCCAGAGGACGAGAGTACTCTAGCCGCCATGCATATAAAGGATGTATAGTGAAAAACTTTGTTTTTACGGGTTCATTTTTTAGCTTGGTCGGTTGCCCCTGGTTCTGTTTTTGTTTCATACTGCTAATGCATTGCACATTTGGGAATCCGAGGATGGAATGCACAACTATACATCTGAATTATTGTTATTATTTTTATGCGACAGAATTTCTCGGGACATCTTCTGCGGGATTAGAATGGCATCCTGCCCTAGTGGTTGCCCCGGTTTTTTCTCCCCCTTTACAGAGGAGGGGCAGGGGCGAGAATGCAATCGATTGTAATACCATCATTGTGAAACCGAAAAGTCTTGGCGAGGATTGTTCAACATCGTCTTGCCAGGAACGATGAAGAATCAGCCTTGACAGCTTCCACCCCCCTCCAATGTGGTTTCGGGGCGGTGAGATCCTTCACAGACACCAAGTATTCTACGTCCAGCCTGCTACAGCAGCGTAGAGAATTTTCCACGGTGCACTGAAGCATACACGCAGATATTATAATGTATACACACCGAATACACACACACAGAGAGAGGCATTGACAATGACACACACAACATGCGCACACGTACACATTGCATGCACACACACACACAGACCTAACAGACTGTTTGGGGCAAGTGCTGTTAGCGAGTAGCACCTATGAAGGCCGGCACGGCGCACAGAGGGGGTGGGTGGCCAGCACCACCCCCGGCCGCCTTTGTCTCCCCAGTGGCGATGTTCAGATAATCGTCACCTGGTGGCACCGTAATAAAACAGACGCACGCGCAGCACAGCGCTGAATATAAACTCACAATGCGTCACATCACGGCAAGAATGTGCACACACCATATACACACACACACCGTATACACACCATATACACACAGTGCAGTGTGTACACACCATATACACAGTATGTACACACCATATACACAGTGCGTACACACTATACACACACGCAGTGCGTACATACCACATACGCAGTGCGTACATACACACGCAGTGCGTACACACCACATACACACGCAGTGCGTACACACCATATACACACGCAGTGCGTACACACCATATACACACGCAGTGCGTACACACCATATACACACGCAGTGCGTACACACCACATACACACGCAGTGCGTACACACCACATACACACGCAGTGCGTACACACCACATACACACGCAGTGCGTACACACCACATACACACGCAGTGCCTACACACCACATACACACGCAGTGCCTACACACCACATACACACGCAGTGCCTACACACCACATACACACGCAGTGCCTACACACCACATACACACGCAGTGCCTACACACCACATACACGCAGTGCCTACACACCACATACACGCAGTGCGTACACACCACATACACACAGTGCGTACACACCACATACACACAGTGCGTACACACCACATACACACAGTGCGTACACACCACATACACACAGTGCGTACACACCACATACACACAGTGCGTACACACCACATACACACAGTGCGTACACACCACATACACACACAGTGCGTACACACCACATACACACACAGTGCGTACACACCACATACACACACAGTGCGTACACACCACATACACACACAGTGCGTACACACCACATACACACACAGTGCGTACACACCACATACACACACAGTGCGTACACACCACATACACACACAGTGCGTACACACCACATACACACACAGTGCGTACACACCACATACACACACAGTGCGTACACACCACATACACACACAGTGCGTACACACCACATACACACACAGTGCGTACACACCACATACACACACAGTGCGTACACACCACATACACACACAGTGCGTACACACCACATACACACACAGTGCGTACACACCACATACACACACAGTGCGTACACACCACATACACACACAGTGCGTACACACCACATACACACACAGTGCGTACACACCACATACACACACAGTGCGTACACACCACATACACACACAGTGCGTACACACCACATACACACACAGTGCGTACACACCACATACACACACCATATACACACAGTGCGTACACACCATATACACACAGTGCAATGCACCACGTGTCGTGTACACACATACAATGTATACGACACACACAGAGTCGTATGTGCAGTATACATTAGAAGTACACGCAGCGTAAAGTGCACGCATTGCATTCGCAACACACACACTTGTTACAGCACAGTACCGGTTATTTGTGCGTATAGAGAGTACTACCATTGTTGTTGTTGTTGTACAAGCAACGTGTGTGGGTGTACATTGTGTGGGTGACACGTGCACGCCGTGTACTGTAAGTACAGTCATACAGTGGCGCGCACACATGCCACGTGTGTCACACCACATACAGATGGCACACACGTGTGTGACACACACGTGTGTCACACACACACGTGTCACACCACACACACACACACACGTGTGTCACACGTGTCACACCACACACACACACCACACGTGTCACACCACACACGTGTCACACCACACACACACACACACGTGTCACACCAAACACACACACACACGTGTCACACCAAACACACACACACACGTGTCACACCAAACACACACACGTGTCACACCACACACACACACACGTGTGTCACACGTGTCACACCACACACACACACGTGTCACACCAAACACACACACGTGTCACACCACACACACACACGTGTGTCACACGTGTCACACCACACACACACACCACACGTGTCACACCACACACGTGTCACACCACACACACACACACACGTGTCACACCACACACACACACACGTGTCACACCAAACACACACACACACGTGTCACACCAAACACACACACGTGTCACACCACACACACACACACCACACACACACACACGTGTCACACCACACACACACACACGTGTCACACCACACACACACACACGTCACACCACACACACACACGTGTCACACCACACACACACACGTGTCACACCACACACACACACACGTGTCACGCCACACACACGTGTGCTACACCATAAAAAAGACAAAGATCCCCTGTATAGCCTTGACAGACTGTAGGGGCAAGTGCTGTTAGCGAGCAGCACCTATGAATACCACACCACACGCACACCAACACAAGTATCCACCAACACACACACAACTACAGTACTGATAGCCCCTTTACTCACAACTACGGCGTTAGTACACAGCCTGTGTGTAGTGTGTTAGTGTGTGTAGTGTTAGTATAGTGTGTGTAGTGTTAGTATAGTGTGTGTAGTGTGTGTACATCGTGTAGTGTGTTAGTACATGTGTAGTGTTAGTGTGTGTACATCGTGTAGAGTGTTAGTACATTGTGTAGTGTGTTAGTACATCGTGTAGAGTGTTAGTACATTGTGTAGTGTGTTAGTACAGTGTGTAGAGTGTTAGTACATTGTGTAGTGTTAGTGTGTGTAGTGTGTGTACAGGGTGTAGAGTGTTAGTACATGTGTAGTGTATGTGTAGCGTCAGTACACCGTGTAGTGTTAGAATATTGTATAGTGTGTGTAGTGTTAGTACAACGTGTTAGTACATGTGTATAGTGTGTTGTTGGAGTGTGTGTGTTGTTATTGGTGTGGTGTTGGTGTGTGTGTTAGTGGTGGTGGTGTGTGTGTGTTGTTGGTGGTGTGGCCTCAAGGTGCACCTAGCCTGGCACAAGCGTCGTGGTGACGTCACCGCCACTTCGTGGCGAATGGCGGTTGTTGTTGGTGTGTGTTGTTGGTGGCGTGTGTTGTTGTTGTTGGTGGTGTGTGTGTTGTTGGTGTGTGTGTTGTTGGTGTGTGTGTGTTGTTGGTGTGTGTGTGTTGTTGGTGTGTGTGTGTTGTTGGTGTGTGTGTGTTGTTGGTGGCGTGTGTGTTGTTGGTGGCGTGTGTGTTGTTGGTGTGTGTGTTGTTGGTGTGTGTGTGTTGTTGGTGTGTGTGTTGTTGTTGGTGTGTGTGTGTTGTTGTTGGTGTGTGTTGTTGGTGGTGGTGTGTGTTGTTGTTGTGTGTGTTATTGGTGGTGTGTGTGTTGTTGTTGGTGTGTGTGTTGTTGGTGGTGTGTGTTGTTGGTGTGTGTGTGTTGTTGGTGTGTGTGTTGTTGGTGTGTGTGTGTTGTTGGTGGCGTGTGTTGTGTTGTTGGTGTGTGTGTGTTGTTGGTTGTGTTGTTGTTGGTGTGTGTGTGTTGTTGTTGGTGTGTGTTGTTGGTGTTGTTGGCGCGTGTGTTGTTGGTGGTGGTGTGTGTTGTTGTTGTGTGTGTTATTGGTGGTGTGTGTGTTGTTGTTGGTGTGTGTGTTGTTGGTGGTGTGTGTGTTGTTGGTGGTGTGTATGTTGTTGGTGTGTCTGTGTTGTTGTTGGTGTGTATGTTGTTGGTGTGTCTGTGTTGTTGGCGCGTGTGTTGTTGGTGTGTCTGTGTTGTTGTTGTTGGTGTGTGTTGTTGGTGTGTGTTGTTGTTGGTGTGTGTGTTGTTGTTGGTGTGTGTTGTTGGCGCGTGTGTTGTTGTGGTGTGTGTTGTTGGCGCGTGTGTTGTTGTGGTGTGTGTTGTTGGTGGTGTGTGTGTTGTTGTTGGTGTGTATGTTGGTGGGTGTGTGTGTTGTTGGTGGTGTGTGTGTTGTTGTTGGTGTGTATGTTGTTGGTGTGTTGTTGTTGGCGCGTGTGTATGTTGTTGGTGTGTGTGTTGTTGGTGGTGTGTGTTGTTGTTGGTGTGTATGTTGTTGGTGTGTTGTTGTTGGCGCGTGTGTATGTTGTTGGTGTGTGTGTTGTTGGTGGGTGTGTGTTGTTGGTGGGTGTGTGTGTTGTTGGTGTGTTGTTGTTGTGTGTGTGTTGTTGTTGGTGTGTTGTTGTTGTTGGTGTGTGTGTTGTTGTTGTTGGTGTGTATGTTGTAGTTGTTGGTGTGTGTAAACACACGCGGCTAGGCACGGGGGTAGCTGTCGAGGCGAGGAGACTTACCAGACGCTGCCGTGGCAGCGCGGACGAGGATGTTCGCTCGCTGTTCCGTTGAGCACGACGGGGAAAAATAATGTGTGACGACCCGCAGACGCCGCACATTTATACTCTCTCACACACACAGAGACACACACAGACACACACCGGCACAGACACGCAGACACACACCGGCACGCACCGGCACACGCACACACGTGCGCGGAGAACAACGCAGACGAGCCGGGGAGATGGGGGGTGGGGGGGGTTGGGCTGTACAAGCCCCGCCCCCTCGTTGCCCCTCCCCCCCGCGCGTCCCCCGCACCCCTCGTCACCCCCCCCTCGTCTCACCCCCCCTCGTCCCCCCCCTCTCCCCCTCGTCCCCCCCCCCTCGTCCCCCCCCCCTCGTCCCCCCCCCCTCGTCCCCCCCTCGTCCCCTCCCCCTCGTCCCCCCCTCGTCCCCCCCCCCTCGTCCCCCCCTTCTCCCCCCCCTCTCCCCCTCGTCTCACCCCCCCTCGTCCCCCCTCTCCCCCCCTCGTCCCCCCCCCCTCGTCCCCCCCTCGTCCCCCCCCCCTCGTCCCCCCCTCGTCCCCCCCTCGTCCCCCCCCTCGTCCCCCCCTCGTCCCCCCCCTCGTCCCCCCCTCGTCCCCTCCCCCTCGTCCCCCCGTCTCGCCCCGCCCCCCCTCGTCCCCCCCCTCCCTCTCGTCCCCTCCCCCTCGTCCCCCCTCGTCGCCCCGCCCTCCCTCGCCCCCCCCTCGTCCCCCCACCTCCTCGCCCCCCCGTCCCCCCCGTCCCCCCTCATCCCCTCGCCCCCCCGCTCCCCCTCGCCCCCCGGTCCCCGCCCTCTCATCCCCCCCACCACGCTTCGTCGCATACGCAGTTGTATAGAAGCAATGTGAGTTTGTGATGGGTGCAATGCATAGGCCAGCAGCAATACCCCCTCGCGTATATATTTTCCTCTCCGACGCACAATTAAATACACATTTTTTAAAACTTTTTTTTCCACAATTCATCGGGGTCCCGCGGAATTTCCTGGTGGGCGAAATTTTACCAGCCACTGGTAACTCCTCTGCGTTGGTGAAACTTCCAGACGTTTAGCACAGGAGGATGCTCTCTCTTAAAATATGGATCCGAGTTCGACGCTAACACTGCCTAAAGTGCATTACACACGACTCAATCAGCGTCGTTGTGCAGAATACACGAATAACAATTAGCAGACCAGATGTCACGTTTGTATAAATGGCTCCCCAACGTTAACATAAAATTCTTATTTTTACCCACGGCCGTCCCGGGTGAGCGTAATTTCGGCAGCATCATTGATTCGCCAACAAGCAAACTATTATGTTCAACACATCTCTTTGAAGATGATGTGTTGAATGTAATACACAATGCAGTGTTTGTGGCAAATTTTTGTTCTTTGGAATGCTCTAGACTCTAGAGCCTCGTGAGGTTGATATTCTGTTTGTCTTGTACAAGTCAAGAACTAAGACTACGTTTGTTGTGATGTGCACGACTGTGCCATATTTTCTGCTGATAATTGAGGATGTAATAAATCCGTTTATTAAATGTCGAAAATCGAACATCTATATCTATAAATATTCAAACGTCGCAACAATGATGCCATACTCATCGCTTTTTATAGGCTGTAGGTGTGTTTGCGTTTGGACGCTATGTAAATTATAGCCACGTGTGAAATGCGGTCGTTCCATTTTGCAAAAGCTAAACAATATATATGTTGCGTAATACAGTACGAACGTGAAACGTGGACTGATCCAGTGGCATCTCACTTATCCACAATGCAGTGTTTACAGGTAGGTAGGCAACATCCAGGAAAATACAATAACTTATTTTATCCACAAATTGTGGAGTTATTTTCCTCTACCTGCGAATTAGGTTTTCGCCGCAACCACTTTCGTTTGGTTTTCCTTATCCGTGATTTTCTACGGATAATGGGAACCTTTGGCACATGGATAAATGGGAATGTTCTCAGAGAGATTCTGACCCACGGATGATAGGAGTGACGCCAGTCACGGATAACGAGTTTTGGGACAATCGTTTTTTTTGCTTTCGTGTTCTTGTCTGGATAATGGGGAGAGGAACGTACTTGTAGGTAAATTCTCGTCGAGTGAAGCCCACGGATAACTGAATTATCAGAATTCAATTGTCGCAACCCCCAATATTACATCGTTATCATAGCTTTCGTATGCGCAATGGAATGAATTTACCGGTCCACCTCCTATAGGAAGGTCCACGAATGATTCTGGAGCACGGACAATGGGAAGAGTATGAAGGAGGACAGTAAGATGAGTTTCGATGGAAGCAAAAGCTAAACCATCTTTTTGAAATTCAATGTTAGTTGCTTTCCATTGCATTTATATTTATTCCACCAGGTATAACATGCACCTCTGGCCTATTCTCTCAAAGGAACATCATCTGCACAAAACTCACTGCTCTTGATCAGGATCGCCATTATATTGGAATTCAGGTGCCGTTTTCAAGGTTGATTCAACCTCGGATGATTTTCATATGTACCTATTGTTACAAGCGTCGGTGAACACATTGTACAGGAGAACCCAGCAATAGAGATTTGTATTAGCTACAATATTTAAATTTGGGCATTCTAATTTTCTCTTCTTTACCAAAGTCAAACTTTGCTTTAGCAGTGATCTTTTTCGGCAACGATTATATCTCCCAAAACGCTTTAACCAACCTTGCCAACATTTTTTTTCGTGGTGACACAGCAACGTAACACCAGGCTCAGAGGGCTTCTCAAGATTCCAGAGTGAAAAGGTTCCAAAGTTACGGTCGGGGACATTCTCAATGACTTCCACAGGGCAAAGGGCACAGGAGAAATGGTTTGGGTGAGTGACATTTTAAAAATGCCCTTTGACATTTACTGGTCTTTTTATCATGTGCAATTGTGAACAATAGCCATATGAGACAGTACATATAATCAGCATGATTATTAGTTCACTGCAGCTCAAAAACTCAGTCCTACAGGGCGTGTGGTGAAGCTAGGAGATGTCCATGTTGTGAGCTCGCCATTTGAAAGCACGAAGACCAGAATCAGTGAGTTCGTTGACAATGTGTTCAGGGAGGTAGTTCTATATAGTTGGTACACCAATACATGCTACTCAAACCACAGGAATAACTCTCTTCTTATTTTTCAGCCTTTAATTGTAATTTGTCCAGTCACCTTTTGCTCAATTATCGCGTACCAAATGTTGGAAACGCGTGTGATGTAGATTTAAAATGTTGAGTGATTCTCAAAGTGCCAGGGCGATCTACTGCCACTGTAGTTTAACAAAGCTCACAAGTGCTGCCTCCACACCGTCACGCGCGCGCAGCACGGATATCCACAATTATGCTGCAAGTCTCGTACTTTATCACACGGAGCCACGCGTCACAGTGAAGGCTATTAGGATTCTGGGCTGCACTACCGTCGCAGGGCAGCGCCAAAGCGTGCGTCTGATGCGAGTGCGAGCAGGACACGGAGCCATCAGCTGTGAGAGCCGGACAATATTTGACCACCACCACGATAGTCCAAAACCTTACGCAGCTTTTTAACATTGCCGGCCACTTAATGACAAATTAATGTTGTCATCCTTTCAGCCGTTTTTAAACGCAACTGCTGGATGAAGGTATGAAGACCTCCCCAAGCCGTGCATCGGTCACGGGGGTTGTTTGGTCAGTACATGGTGGTGAAGGGGAACAGCCCAGAGCAGAGGTCGCAAACGGGTTTTGATTCCTTACCCGTACCCGTACCCGGCCGCACCAGGGTCGCAAATGGGTACCCGTACCTGGCCGGGTACGGGTACCCGTTCCCTACCCGTACCTTACCCGAAATGAGTGACAAACGGTTACTCACCAGTGACTCACGGCCTACCCGTACCCGTACCCGGCCGGGTACCGGTAGCTGGATATCGGGTAGGGCAGTGGCGGCTCCTGCAAAATCTCTCAGGGGGGGGCAAATGTCTGGATGATTGATAAGGATAAGGTCCACCCATGCAATGGATAAATTAACAGCTTAAGCATGTAAAGGCAACTTCACTTCTTTAATATTAATGAAAAATAAAGTGACTCTTACAATACATCCTGTTTGTTTCTATACTCTCTATTAAAAGAAACCACTCAAGTTTATTTTATTAAAGATTCCACTAGGTGGCCACAAATTATATTGTTGGATGAAACGTGCTTACGCATGATGAAGTAAGCACGTATGATGACGTAAGCACGTTAGGGCAAGCCTTCCCGGAAGCCATAGAGAATGCATTGCAGCGCCCCCCGGTCGAAAAAAAACATCTTTGAATGTAAGTCTATGGGGCCACTCGGGGCGATTCTCAGCCTGAGTGAAATCGCCCAAAAAGAGGCGGTACTCCACAGAACGTGACATGACGCTGATTAGACTATATCCAGAGGCACAGTGACGGCTCGCGTGACTCTGTGGTTGAATGACATTGGTGGTGCGTCGCCCAATCGCCCTAATGAAGAAACCGCCCCTGGGGTAGGGTACGGGTATCGGGTACCCGGTTGCGACCTCTGGCCCAGAACCAGTTCATGCGTCACTCACCACTGAAGTTAATCACCTCGCCTGGTACACGAGAGGTCATGGGTTCGATCCCGACCCTGAAGTCTGTATATTTGGAGTTTGCGTGTCGCTCCCCCCGTGGTCGCGTAGATTTCTCCGGGTCCTCCGGTTTTTCCCTCCAGATTTATAAACACGCGTTTAGGGTATTTGGCTGCAATACATTTCCACGTGATAAGCCACTTCGTTGAGCCTATCATTTGTGATAGTCAGGTCGCTTCTGGAAAATAGCTATATATCTCTCTGTGGGCTTTACCTAGTCAAATAAAAACAACCGTTTAAATAGTGTTCGTGATGTTACCCGTGGTTGAGAATCAAATTGAGGTTGTTGGGTTCATAGTCCAAGGCACTAACCACTACACCAACGCTCCATGTCATTAAAATATAAACAAAATAACAAGCCGTCTCTTCAGTCAACCACGGCATTGTTAAAGGTAAGCTACTTCATCTCCCTAAGTTCTAGCAAGGTTCAATTCTCAAATAATCAGGTTTACAAATATCCCTAGTTTTTGTTGAGGATCTTGGAAAAGTGCTATTTAGAGGGCATTTCGTGAGACGTGCATGAATATGAGAGGGTGGTGTGGCCTGCACCATGCATGCCCCAACTGTCTGTGTGTCCCCAGTTTTCGCTTTGGCTCACCGTACCAGAT